AATCTTGGCTTCTTTTAAACTAAAAGTTAGAAAGCGTGTTGAAAAATGTTTGCACAGTTCTGTAAAGAGAATGTTCCGTTGGTGATTCGTGCCTAAACTGATTGTGGATCAACCGTTACCAGATTGCTTGTTAACAACTCAACCCAGAAGCTGCTTTGTTGTGTTTGTGTCTCATTTGAACTTCTTCTGACACCACAGCCGTCTCGGGTAGCTCCGTGCCAGAGTGGGTTGAGTTTGTCGTGGTGTGGCTGCCGACCTCCAACGGTTTCCTCAACTGCATCTTCTACTTCTGGATAAACCGAAACTTCCGCAGGAAGTTTCATTTCGTCCTGCAGAGGCTGGCTCTGGCTCTGTGTCCTGAATTGGCCGACTCACTCGGGTGGAGTAACAGTTCAACGCAGTTTGTGTCGGATGTTTTGGTTGACGGGGTCCACGGACGCTCCTCCAGCGTGTCGTCCACCTGCACCTTACTGAGCTTGGCTTAAGAGTATCTGTGSCCAGAAAACACTACAAGAATGACAGATAACATGGCCAGTGACCTATATGTTGTCTGGGTGTTCTTGACAGCCATGCCCCTGTTGTTGACATTTCATCCATGTGTGGTATTAAAGGTACTGGGTTTGCAGTGTAAATGGTTTAAAAGTCAGACAGGTTCTGATGACATGCATTCAAAACAGGGAAAATGTACATTATGCATCATGTGTTGTATCAATCACCTATTTTATTTTTTAACAAATTTCAATCGAAATTTAGTGTTCAGTTTGTGTTTTTTTACTCATTGAAACACTGTAACCAGGATTTGGTTTCTAATTCAAGACGGCCTCTTAAACCACATTTTTTTAGTTGTTTTATAAGTCACCATCAACCTTTTGTAATCCAATCTGCCTGTCATCATTCTGCAAACAAATTATTTATTATAACATCAGCCTAATTAGACCTGCTGCTTCGGTCGACAAATTTAATTTGTTTAATTGACACGACTGATATTTAGGCTCTTTTTACCATTTGGGATATTTGCGAGCACTGCAAACWGATTTTAAGCACTTTGAACAACTGAGACCACCAAACTCTTCTTCTGTTTAAACTGTTTGTCAAAGACTTTGGCATATAGCAGCTAAAAGAAGGTAACCTTTAAGTCACAGCATTTCAGTGCATGTGAGGAGAAAAGTAATTAAGCACCTGGGCTGCAGAAAGGTCACCACGTTTGTATGAGGAAGAGATAAGTTGTGCGGGGAAGATCTCTGACTTTGTGTTACACACGCACAGAAACAGCTCCAGGAGGAAACTCTTTGCCTTTAGTTYGTTTCTAAATTCATAATAAAACTATGCATTTTAGCTTGAATGCCTTATGCCGTGGAGACGGTTGGTTTAGAATTAGCTAAAGGGTGAACATTTCTCAAATCGTTGTTAAATCTGCTTGGTATTGCTATCAGTTTCAAGAAAAAAAGGGATGAAACAAATAATTAACCTAATAATAATCTTTGTTTGTACATATGTTTATAAATTATAACAGTAAAAGACAATTGTATCAAATTTGTAAATAATCTGTGAAATAAAGCATAATGCCTTTTTGTATTCTATAACTTTTTGTTGAATATTTAAGTGTTAGTTGGTATCTTGCAGAATATCTTGGTGTTGAAATGAAAAATGTTCAGAAAGCAGTTTGTATTGTACTTRAAAACATCAAAAACTCTTCATACACTGCAGCATTAATTGCCTCTTTTCAAACAYGTCTTTGCATTTATCTTTTATTGATTTATCTTTTGTTTGTTGTGGATAAATCCAGCATTTATTGGCCAATATTGGACAGAAAACTTCAGCACAAGTTGTACGTGTTCTGTAGGGAAAAGGGAAGGAGAAGGGCCATGCTAAGTGTTTTATGTTTGTAATATTGTTTGAAACCCTGTTTACAAAAAATGTGTAATTGCCTATTGAAGAAATATGGGCTAAGCTTTTCTTTTTCAGACAAGTTCCCAAATGGTTTTATAATAAGCTCTGTTTTTTATTTTTATGTGTGCGGTAGGGARGACAGGTTAAGAAGAATTTATTGCCTGGTGTTTTGCTGTGATGCAATCCTTTTTTTATAGTTTAAAAGCAATCCATTAAAAAAGATTTATTAGATCTCAGTAAAATCAAATGCGAGCCAATCATGCTCACATTTCACATTGATATAGATGGTTATATTTTCCTTGCAAGTTGTGGCTTTCTTKGCATTATTAACATACATGTAAAGTGACTTGAGTTGAATATTAGCCAGAAAGAAAAAAGAAATGTTACCACATAAGACAAAGTTAAACCCATTTTTTTTTTCAGTGAATATGTTTTAAAATACATCTGATTTATTTGAAACATGTTTTTTATTCTTAGGTATGGATAAAAACAAGCTTAGATACAGGATCTAAACAAAACAAAATGATGCTTTTACAAGCCTGTGTCCTTCAGAAATTTTGTTCTCTCRCTGATACGTGTTGACAAAGATTTGTAGGATCTTTTTAAATGGTAAAATCCAYACATTTGATCTGCAGACATGAAATACCACTTTTAGCTACAATTGTGTCCATGTGAATCTAAGATCAACATGCACTTTTATTCATAACATAATCTCCCCCMAAAATAAAACTAATGGCAATGCTTTGTCCTTGTGGCATTCAAAAGCAGTGCTGTTTTTAGCTTTATTTTTTTGTTGCCAAGCAGATCTCTGAGGAAAGCAGTAAAACGTTGTGCATTAGCGCTCTCAGTCGTCCACAAGGATTTCTGCTAATAGAGATGACAGACACTTCAGTCGTGGGGAATAATGGTCATCTGATGTTCACACTGACACAACACCATGTCTGCTTGAGCTTGTCGTTTTCTCTTGAAATAATTCCTGTCACAGCAAGGCCACCTTGGCTGTAAATGACTAATTGTCTCATGAGAACTATAAGACAAAATCCAGATAGAATTTAAAAAGTAAAATATGCTTAAGTGTTAATATGCCTTTTTTATCTACAGAACTTCTCAGCTGGTGGAAAAACATCATTTTCACTTTTTTCCAGTGCAATGTTTTTGAACTATTACTGCAAAGCATCTCATTGTGCATGGTCTTCGTCAGTATCACACCATCACAGTCACAGTTTTGCAAGTTGTTTTCATCATTGAATGAAGCCATGATCACCATGTGTGAGAGTCAGATTTATTGTGATCACTGTTCTGTGCTCATAAAAACCCAGAGATAAGCACGGAGTGGGTGCACAAAACAAATGGTCAGTGTTGTGTATATGTATGTATGTATGTATGTATGTATGTATGTACAGATGTGTGTGTGTGTGCACATTTTTCCTACATAGTGGGAACCAATTTCCAGAAAAACACAGCTTTGTGGGGACTTTATGTGCATCGTGGGGACCAATGCCTGGTTGTCACGGGTTATGGATGCTAATTTCAGGTGTGGGGTTTGGTTTAGGACCAGAGTGTAAATTGAGTTTAGGTTTTAGGGGCAGGGTTAGGCTATAGAAATGACCAAAAAATGAATAGAAGTCAATCCACAGTCCCCATGGGAATATAAAAACAAACATACATGTATGTGTGWRTGTATGTRTGTATRTATGTATGTATGTGTATAACACCAATAAAACAACTAGTACTTTATTACATAAGGCTATAGTGCCATCTTGTGTTTATACAAAGTAACACATTTTGGACAGAATTTAAATTGTTCTAATTGGTAAGGTGATATTAATTTAACATGTAAAGAAAAATATATCATTTTGCTWCCACTATTTAGTTTTTTAAGATTTCTGTATTTTATGAAACTTGTAACTTTTTAAATAAACTAAAAAAAGTTTTTTTTATTCTTATGTTATCCTGTCAAGTAAGATNTAAGATTTCTGTATTTTATGAAACTTGTAACTTTTTAAATAAACTAAAAAAAGTTTTTTTTATTCTTATGTTATCCTGTCAAGTAAGATGTTTGATAATTCTCACCAGCTWTAAGTGGACAGAAAAGGGTGAGTCACCGGGTGTTAATTTGTGCTGTGTGTGTTTTGTTGGCTGGGAGTACTCTAACCTGTGAAAGCTTTTGTGGAGGTTGCAGATGGAAAGGCTTTTATTTCAATAATGGGCCTTTCCTGCTCTTCTCCACTTACAGCTCTTTTCCAGGAAAACTAGCTCCGAGGAGCAGGCAGGCTGCATGGAGGACAGAACCATRATTTGCTTTTTTGTTGCAGCTTCAACATGAAACATTTTTTTTCTCTCTTTACCAGAATAACACAAATTTAAAAGAAAGGTGATTCTGGRATAACCTGTGATAGGAACTGAAGTACTAAAAAAACATTGAGTCTTTTATAACTTTTATTTAGTCTTAAAATTTTGTTCATGTATTCTGACAAAAAGTCACGTTTTTACATAAATCTTGAGAAATATGCAAACTCAGAGTTACTGTAAAACATTAGGACAGGCAAAACTGAGTGATAAGTAGGTGTGGTCCTATTTGTGGGTTTATCTTCCTCTTGCACTTTGTCATTTAAACTAAGTTCAAAGATAAAGACAAGGGTAAAATATGAAACCTTTGAACCATTCAATAGGAAAAAAAACATCAGTTTAATTCAGGTGATCAATTTAGTCACTCAGGCTGATTTAAATTGATCTGACTTGAGTTTTTTCTAAAAATGTTTACTATAACATTTTCCTACTCATTCATAAAAATGATCTTTGCTTTGAAAACAGGTTTAAACTTGCTGTATTTAGGAATATTCTGTCAAACTGACAAAAAATTAGAACAACCTGTTAGTTAGTTTGACACTTTATTGACAACAGAAACCAAAAACAAAGTATTTATCTTAAAAGTTGACGAGTTTCAGTCGGAAAGCTGCAAGCAGATCTCAGATTAAGAAAGCAACAAGAATTTTTTTTTTCTATTTTCAGACTTATTGGAGATTGATTGGACAACAACAGTTTTGTCATTGGAGTTCTAACAAGCAATCTTGCAATGATCGTTAGGATATATAAAAAAAGTCATTAAATGCTAGGCAAAATTTATCTCAATCAAATCTAAACAGTTGAGGACTGAAAGACACGTTTACGGCTTTGTCAGCAAGGTAGTTCTCAAACAAAAAAACATCCAAAACTTAAAACAATTTCAACCTGCAATGACAGAACCTCTCAACTAGTACAGAAAACTAAACGAAAAACATTTTTACTCATTTGYTTTGAAGGGAAATCTATTTATTACCATATATATTAGATTTTGAAGAACATTATTCCCTAAGTAATGACACATAAAATAATTTAAACACTAACATGACTGATTGTTTAACAGCATAACATTAAGGAATCGATAAAAGGAATTGCTGTAATTTATGCAGCTGTAATTTATCTCAGGCTATAAAACCTAAGAAAATACACTATAGAAGCTTAAGAAGTTACAATCCAGAAAAAAATAAATGACAACATCTTTTTGCACACCAACATATTATTGTACCTACAGTGAAATTATGAAAGTATTAAAAATTTGCATGAAACTAACATGAAAGATAGGTTTGACAATGGGCACAGAGACAATGACAAAAAAGAAAATGTCAAAGTTTTTTTTTTAACTTTCACACAACTATCTGTTACATGAACTCTGTAAACAGGCCAGGACAAATTATGAAACTGTTCCCTGCACACACTTCACTGCTATGGATGCTGTCAGCTCAAATCATGAGCTATAAGTATGAAAAAGATTTGGTCAAACAATTCAAGGCCTCCGGACGAAAAGAATGAGATGTAAACAGAATGACTTAAGAACTCAAGATGACTTGTGTTCAAGAATGAAGAAACGATACACGACCCCAAAAATGGCTGCAGCAATGGCAGGTACCAAGCACAAGGCCCAGAAGCTCCTGAAGACAAGAAAAGCAGCAAATATTATATACTTGATCCTTCAACTTCTTTATGTTGTTTCACCAACGCACAAAACGCATTTCCATTTTTTTCCTCTTCCTAAATCGATTTGTGGAAATCTTTATATGGATATAAACGGTGTAAAATGGTAACAATATAAATATACAAACAAAGAGACCCACCTGGACTTTCCTGAATCTGTAACTTGTGCTTCCTGTAGCAGAAACAAAACCATGAATTCAAAAACATACTGAGGATAAAACATGAATTTTGTAAAATTAGTCTTTCAGGACACACAACTTACCTTTGTGTTCTTTTTTCTGTCATCCTGCAAAAAAGCAGACAAAAAAAACCCATTTTTTTTTACTGTCTACTGGCTCACATGCTAACAATTTACTGGCGTGTTAGCATAGATAAATATGTAGTGAGATCTACAGGTATGTAAATCAGTTTACAGACCAAATCAAACCTATAATAGAACTTTTAAAAGTATGTGCACAACAATCTTTTTTTGTAATCCGTTACAAACATAAAATTTACAAATGCATTCAATAATCAGAAAGTTAATTACTACGTTTTGGCCTGCAGTATCATAAACTCATTAGTAATTATTACATCATGATGAGATAAATACATAAAAAGTGCAACCATGCTATAATGTTAACATTATGTTTTAGCTGGTAAGATTAAAAAAAACCTGTTCTCATGACCACCTGTAAATAAATGTAACAAATCAATTGGAGTTCTAGCCCTGAAATCCTTCTGAACTCATTAAAAAAGTGTTTACATTTAGTCTTGTGACTCCAACAATCACATGTACAAGTTGGTGCCTCACTTGTTTGCGAGACACCAACTGACAAATGACTGCATGGGTTAAATTTATGCCTCTATTATGAGCAAATTACATTAAGTTCTCCTGTATTGATTAAAGAAAAATTAAAAGAAACGTTAGGAATCACACTCTTCAGCCCGCCACTGAGGTATATTTTAAGGGTGCTGGAGATGAGGGTTCAGTTGATGGTTGGTTTAGGAGAAACAAGTTCGGTCTCAGTCCTAAAATACCAGACAGATAAGAGGACAGAGATGTCTGGGCCTCCCTGCTCTAGTTGCTGCGCATGTGACACTGCTCCAGAACAAGTGGAAGATTATGGGTAAATGGATGAATGAAAACAAAAGTTATAAATCAGGCATGAACCAGGGTCTCTTCTTACCATGTGAAGCTCTCCAATATAGTACTGCTGAAGCATCTCCCTGGCATCTGTAGAATGACCCACGTCCTCAAAGCTCTCTGTGGCATCTGCACCGCCCTGCTCCAGCAAGACCTCCTCACCACCTGGATGCTAGGTCATAGAATGGTCAACAAAGACGTTACAATAATTTATTTAACTGGTTTATAATAAATAAATATGTACAGTATATCACTGTGTTTTTCGATGTAATATAAAGTGTTACATCTGCTGAGATCTTTTCAGTAGCGGTCACACAACTAAAATAAACTTCACGTAATGCAAAGTTAATGCAGTTTTTAAATCTGTTTTTCAATGTAATATAAAGTGTTAAATCTGCTGAGATCTTTTCAGTAGCGGTCACACAACTAAAATAAACTTCACGTAATGCAAAGTTAATGCAGTTTTTAAATCAATATTTGCATTRTTTTTCTTTTTACAGTAGAATTGGTCCATTAAACAGATTTTAAAAATATTACTACTGTATAAAAATTCATTTTTTGAGTCCAGTTTCAGTTGCTACAAAGCAATGTTTATAAAACAGWGTTTAAAAGCAGTATAAAGTTAAGTATGTTATTAAGTGACTGGACTGGAGTTATGTATTAAGTAAATTTTAATTCCCAATCAACAGTGTTTGTAATAAGCAACTGTTGCGATTTGTTTTTCATTTATGTTTAACTTTCCTGCGCTTACAGCCTCTGAAGACAGAAAAACAAGGTTTACACGTCAACACACAACATCAAGAAACCTTTGGACGTCCAGGAAGTGCAAATAGTCAAAGAACGTGACACATTGCAGCGTCAAAAACCACACGTTATGACCAGACAATAATAGAAGACTGGAAGGTAGTAGTTGATAGAAAGTGCTTCTTACCTCTTCTAGAAAATTTGAGATGTCGTATACTTTATTATGGATGATGAGCCATGTGTCACTGTTCATATTGTGTACTCTAACTTCCTCTAAAGTGTAAAATTTAACGCCGCCATCTGCCGTGTCTCCGTTTTTCTCATTACCGATGTTGTTAGCGGATCTGCTGTCCGTGTTTCCTTTTGTTTCTTCACCCATCCTTAAACGTTTGTACAAACGAAGTAGATGCTAGCTAACGATAGCTTTTGTTGACGAGATATGTAACGCAACTAGCTTAGCTCTTCTCGCAGATCGAACCGGAGACAGAAGTCCTCTGAAAGCTTCGGCTGACAGAAAGCTTCGGCTGTTGTCACAAATAGAAAAGAACAAAAGAAGACAAATCGAGAATGCCACACACGCTGCTTATTATGAAATCAAACATTAAACATCGGTACAAGCGCAGCTTTGAAGCATCCAATGACGTTCATGACATGTTTAACAGGAGAGCTCAGACAAAAAAAKGTGACCAATGAGAGTGCGAGATTTTGGATCGTAGCCAATCAGAACGACCTTTTTAGAATRACGCCAGCGTAAAGGTTCAATGTACCGTGATTGAACGACCAGTAGGGGGCAGTAATACGCCTTTCTTCGCATAGGGTGTAGAAGAAAAAAGAAGAGCGAATGATGGGATTGTAATGGCCGCTTCCTTGCGCGTAAACATTGGCGTTGTGTTTACGAAATCCACAACTTATGTTTAGACCATATTCCTCATAGTTTGGTAATTTAGAATACGCAGGTTTTGTAAGAACCTTTGGGATTATACATTTAAAGAAAAACGGGACGGTTTTCCGTAATTTACTTTTTGCCGTGACAGAAACAGCTAGCATTAGCCTGATTAGCTGCTCAGACGAAGCCAGGTACGTAAAAACCCTAAAYCACTCGACGAGTTAATAATCGTTTAACTTATTTCATTTTAGGGGGCAGGTCTCTGATACACAGACGACTGTAGCAGTTACAGCAAGATAATGTTCGCTTTTATTCATTAGTACTCCTAGCAGAAAATGGCAACCAAATATACGTATATATATATATATACTAGTATACTAGTATACTAGTATATATTTGAATTAAAACTGAGTTTTATATTTTAAGAAATTTAAAATGAATACGTAAAATGGGTTTGTTAAGTACGGAAAATCCCCAGTAGATAATTGCAGAATAAGCTAGTAGCAGAAGTTATGAAGAAGTAGCTACCAAGATATGGTCAAATTTAAATGGATATTTTTTTACTGTTTGTACTGTACATGTAGTTATTTGTTTCATTTGTCACTAAATAAATGAATATATATATATATATATATATTAACCTTTGTCTTTATGCATCATTTTAATACAGATTATGGATGATGAGGATGTGTCCATGCATAGACTGGAAGGGTCTGATCCCACTGCTCAAGTTGGTGGTTTGATAGTAAAGAAGAAGAGTGCTGCTGCAGAGCCCCACGTTTTTCGGGCACCCACACCACGCACATCTTTGCTGGGCTTGGATCTGCTGGCTGCTCAGAAAAGGAAGGAGCGTGAGACCAAGGAACAAGAAGATTCTAATGGTGATGATAAAAACAGAAAGAAGTCGAAGGTTTCCTCCTACAAAGACTGGGAGGAAAGTAAAAGTGACTCTGGGTCTGATGAAGAGGATGATGATACAAATATAAGTTCAAAGAAAGAAAGGTATTCTTTACTAGAATGTTGTTGAAATTCTTTATACAGATTAGATTTTTTTAAAAATATATATACACTAAAAATGTTCTGTACAAAATTAAGAGAGTCATCTAACTGTTTTTCACAGTTTGTAATCATTCACCATCAAGTTTTCAGTGTACGCATATGTCTAGAATTCGTAGTTTGGTTTAACTTGGGTCTCTTTTCTGTTCGCAGGAAGTACCGTGTGACTGGCTCCGAGACGCCCTCCAACCCTGGGGGTGTCAGTGAAGAATTCAAACGCAGACATCAGCAGAGGGAGAAAGACAGGCGTGAGCAAGGAGTCTACGCTTCCTCCAAGGAGGACAAAAACAGAGAGAGAGAGAAGAGCAGAGAGAAGAGCAGAGATCACCGGAGTGAAAGAGGTCATTTCTAACGTAGTTCTTATTGTTTTAGAAAGAAATGTTTAAATGAAGTKTGAGGCAAACAACCCTGAAAACTTTGGTAGTTAAACTTGTGAATAGCTTATTGTTTATTGCATTGTTGTGATGTTGTCACACTTGTTTTTTTCCACTGATTTTTTTTCTATATAAATCGTACTTATTGTATGTACTAAAAATGAAAGCCAAAGTTTGTTCACTTGAGGATTTTGAAAGTAGCTTTCCTTTATTTCTGTGTCAGATGAGCGAGACAGTAGACACAGTCGTGGCAGCAGCAGCAGCCGGTCCGAGCGCAGTGAGAGGAGTGAACGTTCGCAGAGGGATGGCTGGTCCGAACGCATCAGCAGGGGCAGTAGGAGGGATGAACCTTCAACACCACAGAATCGTCCCAAAGGTTACTTTGTTTTCATTGTTTACATTTAGTTGGRTGTACCGTTTGAAATGGGCTTGTGTTAACCTGAATTGTTTTGTTACATAGACGCCTTTACACCTTCCCGCTCTAACTGGGAGGAAGATGATAGCGGTTATGGCAGTACGAGGCATTCTCATTGGGAGTCTCCATCTCCGGCTCCATCTCACAAAGAGTCCGATCGCTCAGAGAGAAGTCAGCGCTCTGGCCGAGAGAGTGAGAGGAGAGACAGGTAACTGTCACTCACGTTTTTATTCTTAACCCTTAAGCTTTATATTTGTTTCTATTTGTATGTAAAGTTTACAGTAGTATTGAATATGATCATTTATAATTAGGGTAAGTAGGGTAGGTTTGAGTTTTAATTTTTTTTATTTTCTTTTCCAAAAACGATGTTGGTACCATTTTGTTGAGTCATTATAACCCTTTTATGTTGATTCACTTTATGAAAAAAAAAAGTTGATTTTATCATTTATCGTTGACATTAAATGCCTAATTATTGGTACATTCATCTTGTGTCATTTTAGGTCAGTCAGAGGTCGTTACTCTGATGACACACCCCTGCCTACTCCATCCTACAAGTACAATGAGTGGGCCAATGAYAGAAAGCATTTAGGTTCCACGCCTCGGTTATCACAAGGAAAAGGTATTTATTTTTCATTCAAATAATTTCGTACTCTCRTGCTGGATTTAAATACGGAGTAATATTTAACATTTCCTGCTTTACGATTTCTTCAGCTAAAAGAAGTGACGGTGAGGGAGGATTCATGTTTGATGATGAAGATGAGAAAGAACAGTGGGAGGAGGACCAGAAGGTGAATATTATCTAAAGCCTTTATTTRTGGAAACTAACTGTTTTGCTCACGAGGGAGTTTGACCTTTAACTGATTCACTGAATCGCAGCAAGCTGACAGAGACTGGTACATGATGGATGAAGGCTATGACGAGTTCCACAACCCRTTCACTTCTACTTCTGATGAATATGTGAAGAAGAGAGAGCAGATCCTTCAAAAGCAGACTCAGAAAAGAATATCTGCACAGAAGCGACAGATCAATGAGGTACAAGCACATGTAGTCAGACCTGCGTTTCTTTAGGCACAATCATAAATGTGTCTTTTGTACCATATTAGCACACCATAGTATTTTCATATCCCTGTAATAATCTGTCTTCTCTTAGGATAATGAGCGGTGGGAGACCAATCGGATGTTGACCAGTGGTGTGGTGCAGAGGTTGGAGGTGGATGAAGACTTTGAAGAAGACAATGCCGCTAAGGTTCACCTGCTAGTCCACAATCTGGTTCCTCCCTTCCTGGATGGAAGAATAGTCTTCACTAAACAAGTAAATAACACTGTTGCTTACTTGGATTTTCAGAGTCTTAGTTATATTCAAGTAGCCTGGTAAAAACCAGACCCTTGTCCTTCACTTTGCTTCGTACGAGGGTCTGGACTTTCTGCTATTGAGAAGCAATTCTTGCTGGAGGCGTGGCCTTTGCTGAAATGTCACTGTGAAGGAGGCTAAGCTAAGAAGCTAACGGGAAATTACGTGCGCTGTAAACAAACCTGCTGAGAGGAGAGAAGTACCGAGCTGAACGAGACGACTGTAAATGAGAGCTGCTGCTTTGTCAGACAAATTTAATTTAATTTGGAAGCCTGATCAACAAAAACCGGCTTCATTCACTTCCTCCACTCCCATTGCTAAATTAGCAGACACTGCACAGAAAATCGACATCGTTCAAAACCCCGCCTTCTGTTTGCTTATTGGCCCAGGTAAAATAAACTACAAGCAGACACTGCGCAGAAAATTGACATTCTGTTCTCTGATTGGYCTGGCTAAAAATCTGCCAGCGAAATCYTTGTCGATGGGAGAAATCCCAGACGGAGCAGTGAAGGGAAACTAGAATTGAGCGGAACAGCAAAGGAAGGCAAGGGCCAGGCTAATATTCAAGTAAACTAGACTTTTCTTTTTACTGAACCTCGTTGTTACTTGATCTTTTAAATAAAAATATCTGCAAAATGAGTAAATGCATATATCGTAGCTGTAGTTTATTTTTTAACGTTTGTATGTGTGTGTTTTTTGCAGCCTGAGCCYATCATCCCTGTGAAAGACCCCACCTCTGACATGGCCATCATCTCTCGAAAGGGCAGCCAGCTTGTTCGCAAACATCGTGAGCAGAAAGAACGCAAGAAGGTGAGTTGGCTTTGCAAATAATGAACTGGTTTACGTTAAGACATTTGGCTTTATAATTCTGTTCCAAACCAACACTTGGGCTGGAGAAGGGTTGTTAAAAAATCATTTTAGTGGAGAACTAGAAACTAACAAAATATCACATGAATTGGTTGTGTCTTCTTCAAACACATTTTTACTCTGTGTTTTTTTCTGTTGACTACTGTGCTGACATCAAAAATGAAGTGTAAAATTCCTGGTTTCTCACACTAAAAATAGATTAGATTAGATTATCCTTTATTGTCATTGCACTGAAAGAAACAACACAACAAAATACGATTAGCACTATTCCAAAAATCTTTTAAATATCACTAAAATAGTTCTTTATGTTGATGGTCTCACTGCTGTAGCGCATCACATCTCTAAACACTGAYATATACTGTACAGTCATGCTGTCTGAAAATTTTGGAGTAAACTATTTTCAGTTCAGTAGAACAACTTAAATCTGGCGTTGGATGCTCTATAAACTCCTTTTTGTGTTTAGAGATTTCAAAATACAGCAGTCTTTTCATTTTCAGGCTGCAATGTAAAATTTTATAATGATTAGAATATTTAAATATATATATATATATATATATATATTCTGTTTTTAGGCACAGCACAAACACTGGGAACTGGCAGGCACCAAGCTGGGTGATATTATGGGAATAAAAAAAACTGAAGATGAAGAGCCAGGCGGCAAAGTGGTGGGTGAGGATGGCAAAGTAGACTACAAGTGAGTAGATTGCACATTT